AAATTTCGCATGAACATCCATAATTCAATAGCATACCTCAATTCTATACCTCAACTTCGCTTCGGCAAAAGTGCTAAAACACCAAAAGTTTCCTCAAATCTGTTAATGAGAGGGACCGCTAGTTGTGACGCTACCGTTCGAAAGCAATTTTTTAAATGAGTAAACTTCTTAAGAGCAAAAGGCTTATTTATTAAACAGGTGGGAGGAGCTAAACAGTAAGCTGTCGGCATTGCGTTCAACACACAGCACAGGAGACCTTTAAAAAGGAATGACTCTCCAGAGCGATACGATTGAGCTGTCCTGCTTACGCTATGCGATGAAGAATGTTCCGCTTTGATAACGAATCTATTTTTAACTTGCAGTGTTTAGAGAGATTTAAAGTCGTAAAAAGAAGGGTAGCATCTCAAGACTTCCTTATAGGGAAAAGTAGGCATAGCGCTTATGGGGAGCATATTTATCTAGAGCTTAAAGCGTGGCCAAGAAATCCCCCCATCCGACCAAGGCAATATGATCCCCAAAGAGACTGCAATCTAAATCGAAAGTCACACAAACAAAGCACTACACGACTCCTCTATTTGGTGCTGAAAAAATTGCGTGCCAGTCGCATCAGCCGTCAACCCTTACGTGACTGAAGAGAGATGTTTGGACTCTACGTTGACTTAACTGAACTCGGTTATAGACAATCCTGCTACCCATCCAGTGTTCACGATTAAAGCTGAATGCATGTATACCAGAGGGAACAAAAGGATTAAACCTGAGACTGGCCCAAGGACCAATTTTTGCGCGCAAGGACCAGACGAATCCTAAAGTAACCGCCAGACACTGGATAGACACATAAACAAGGTATTACACTAGTCAAAGAACAAATTTTCAGAAAGGAGTTCGGGACTTACTGATCCTGTGTAGATTAAAATTTGTGCAATTTCACACTAGCGACATATATTTGCGAGCACAGTGCGCGAAATCCAAAAACACGACTTTCTTAGAAAGTCGACGGCAGGTGTCGCTTTGCCCTTAATATCATTCTTGTTAGACATAAGATTGTGTAGTTTTCGAAGACTTCTTTATGAACAAGAGAAGGCTAAGACCTAAACATAACACATGCTTTAGCAAAATTGAGGCGCATCGAGGTTTGTAACAAAGGGTAACCCAATCAGCCTCGCCAATATGATCACCTAGGTAATTGCAATGAAAATCAGCAGTCGAACAAATTATTACAACATCATTTACCCTATCCAAAGGTGTCTCGGGATGCGACACTGCCGGCAGAGGAAGCTAAACCTTAACGGATCGCAAACGCCAGGTGACGAAACTCACCAGGACAGAAAAATGCGCATAGACCACAAATGGATCAATCATGTCGATCCACAAGGGGAAGGATGATAATCATGTCAACCTACGATAACTGCATCAGTTTAGATGCGACAAGGAAGCTATTAACAACGGGAACAAAACTAGCTGAAACGAGCCGCAAAGTTCAGCACTGGATAAAAACGTCGACAAGGTGAAGACACCCGAGTCCTAATCAGCTAATTACTCTATAAGTTCGACTTTAAATTAATACATACTTTACGGCAATGAGTACGTATCTTAGCCAACAGGGTTCCAAAACCATGGTTCCTAGGGA